TGTCGAAACTATATTAAAAACATAGAAAAGGGTATGACGAAATTATTTTGAGGAGGTTTCGGCAGGCATCTATAACTCTACCATTTGCGAAAACTATTTTTTTTTTTTTTTTTTTTTTTTTTTTAATAAAATTACATTTTCGCAATTGTTTTTTCTTTTATAACATAATTATTGAAAAATATTTTTATGTTAATTAAGAATTAAAATATTGTTATTGATTTTGTACGACATAAAGCACCAGCCAATCATATTTTACAAATTCCACTTTTTATAAATTATTTTGACCAATGATCCGTTTTAACTTCAAATGATTTTTATTGATACCAGATTTTTTGACAATTGGAACGCGCTCTATATCACCCTGATTATACAAAAATTTCTGGGATACTATATATTGTAAATTTTTTCAATTGATTCTCCTATGTATAATATCTAGTGTTAGCCGCAGAACATGCTGTGCCAAATATCATGAAAGTGATACATGTTATGTAATACATGTATTGTAATATATGTATTGAATAATTTACTTTTTAATATAAATATTATATAGTCTTATTTTCATTACTTATATTATTTTCATTATATGTATTTATTGAAAGGCGCAGTATAGTATTAGTTTACAGTTTTATATAAATAGACCTGTAAGTTAACCTTGAGTCAACAGAGTTCGAAGAGAGTTCAATCAGATAGTTTTCTGAATAAGTCTTGGGACTAGACTTATAACTCTACAGTTAATAAAGTTACTATTTTATACTTTCAACCTTCTTCTTGTCTTCATCATAGGATTGATCGTGATAACCTATTACACAAGTAAATCGTGATAATAAATTGTTTTATTTATATATCATTAATTTCTCTTAAAGGAAAGGCCTTTGAGATAATTGTGATATTAAGTTTCTTAGTTTTTGTTAGCTTGGTTTTGAGACGATTCCAGGTCTAACACTGGGATACTTTACATTCTATGCAGTAGGGTTCATTATACTCAGGGTACTATAGAATGCACTTTACAGTAACATGATTTTAGCATATCTTGTTTCCACTAAATGTCATCATTTGGGAGCTGATCAAAATTCCCTTTTATGGTGCTTTTTGCTTCCGTTTGTCATATTTTTTTCCATAATATAATTTTAATATATCTTTTTAGATCAGCTCCCATTTGTTCAATACTTATCACATAAGTCTGTCGTCATTGTTTACCATAAATAAAGATATTCCCAGGAGTATACAAAAGTTAAGTCTTTGTCTTAATGATTCCCTTAACATTTTTATACTGAAAAAATATTATTTTTCAAAGTTTTACGCTTGATCATGGCTAGACAACTTACAAAAAAAATGGACGAGGAGATTGATAGCAGATTTCATTATTCCATTCAGGTATCTTAGCTCATACACTACTCAATAGATAGAAAAGAAATATGTATTTAACATAATATTTTATGTAGAACCCAGAGAATCGTGATTTCAACCGATCATCCTACAGGAATTATGGTAAAACCGCCTTTTGTCGTCCGGTTCTAATGGTAACGATGTGGGACGTGGTGTGTCAGTTATGGACGAACTACATTATGGAAATGAACAACTTCGAGGAAATGGAGCTTCAAGACCAGAAAAAATATCTTTCCAGAATGCTAATTATCTTAGCCGACAAAATTATAATGATGGTGACAAATGTGAACGATCGCCCAACAGCAGTAAATGTAACAATATCAGCGGAAAAAATGAAGATCGTAAAATTTATGTTCGGAGCGTCAGTTCGCAGTGGAGCAGGAAAGAAGTCGTACGAGAACAACGAATTAATAGCAATGTCAAGGGTGAAAACTATGCCGATACTACAATGGTGCCATTCGAATGTTGCCAAACCAAGAGAGAATCCGATCGTTGCAACTGTCCTTGGGGCAACTGCGCAGAATCGGTGTCTTGGCGGGCAATGCATGGACGAAAGAAAAACCGAAAACACCGTGTCGTCTTGTGGTCCCGAACGTTCAATCTGTCAAAACAACGATTCCAGAAACCATGTCACATGTGCAGAAGGGCGAAAAGCTGGATGAATCTCGAGAAGATTGCAATAATCCGAAAAATCCATTCATGATAGTCGAATGATCGCAATTCAATTAGATCGTAAACGCGTCGCAAAATCTCTTAACTGTAATTTCGAAGGTGGAGATCCTTCTACTTTTATATTTTATATGACGCCTGTTAAAGAGTATGGTTTTGATCATATCATTCTCATCGGAGAACAATACGCTGGAATTCTTTTTCTGGACTGCTACGGTCGTGTGTTCGAATGGGGCTCAATGTGTAATGTTTTACGGGTGATTGGGGATTTTTGGAGTGAGGTGAAAAAAGAATCTCGGACTACGCGTATATTTTGGGGTTTAGAGTTCGATGGAACTATTGATGAATATGAGGACGTATAGAATGGTATGTCGAGATTTTGTTAATCCTTTTTTTTTATCTTAATTTCTACAATTAGTTTCTTCTCTCCTAGACTCACCAAATGAAATAACCTTTGACAAATCCGTAAATAAGAAAAATGAATTCGAAAAAAAAGAAGAGATCGAAAAAGAAACAACATTAATCCGGTTTCTACGTTGTGTTTTGGATTAAGTGTGAAGCGTTCTTTTGAATTTCAATTTCGGTTTATGTTTGCATTAAGTTTTGCTCGCGTAAACAAATAATTAGTGACTATGAAATATACATAGCATAGCATAGGACAAATTTGCTGTATTTATATAAATAATAAAAATTTTCGTTTTGCTTATGAATATACTGTGACATTTAATATCATGTCAAAATCATAAAGATTCCTGTTTCCATTTCTACCATGTAATTTCGCGTAACTCGTAACTCTGTTGCAAAAAACTTTGTTCGAATATCATAGGTATTAATACCAAGCTACGTTGCTTACTACCGTGCCATAAATTGATCGCTGATATCTTTCCACTTTCAGGCGAAATAATAATTTTTTTTCGGTACAGTGTTCGCGCGAGTCCCACTTATAAGAGCTTCGACCTTGCCAAATTTGATGGTTGAAAGGCGTTTAACGTGTAAGCTCAACCCTACCTCTTAAAAATTCATCTGACGTCGAGTATTGGGTTGGATGGTATGCTCCCAGTCCAGTAATCGTAATATAAGCCTCGTTCATTACTTCTTGTTTTTTCATCAATTTCATCGTCACCTACATTGTCTGGGAAGGGAACGAACAAGATTAGCGTAAAACCGAGAATAAGAGGGTCACCCTTCAAACAAAGCTATGCCACCACATCACCAACGAGACACCCTCATGATTTTAATTAAAAATAATTTAATTCGTGGGACATGATGTAATCCTATCGTGCTTAAATGGTGTAGATGGTAACTTTCTCTTAACAATATTCGGACCCCTGCACGATAACTAAGTAAGTATACTTACATGATAATACCGGTATTCCTTCCTTGGATATGATAGCTTTGTCTCACACTCTCTAATGTCAAGCCCTAGATGACCATCTTTCGGTCATAGCAGATATGCTATCTCATTAAACGTATCAGACAGAGATCAATCGAATAGTCCAAAAGGGTAACAGTTGCAATCCTCAGTCCCAAACATCACATCTACCAAAGGCTACATTCCTCCAGTCATTTTATGACATTCAGAACTTATGTTGACTAACCGTATGAGAAAGTACACCAGAAGATCCCAATCAAATACATAACCCCATCATGATGAAGTTTCACGTTCGTGCGTCCCAGACATATAAGGGCACCATGATTTTCGCCATTAAAGAGACTATTACTATAATGGTGGTGCGTTAATACCACTCATTACCAGCCCCATTTAAGCTCTTTTATGATAGAATGATTCCCTTTTATATTCTTATTAACACAGTGGCTCAATCATCATCAAAGGTATGATAACATTCTGGTCTAGCCTCACTTGACTTAAAGTTTAGTTAAGTCATCACCAAATCGTTGACCTTGATGAGGTAATTAAAACTTTATATCAACCTTTGATCGTAAATCAACCACTCGTGCTAGGGACACTTGGAATCTCGAGTCATAGTTCTACAGCCATTTAATCACCCGGTTTGTTAGAATTTCAATGCCTAGCCTCTCTCAACCACCCGTGCTATGGTAAGGTAGGGACACTGGGAATCTCACGAATCATAGCCGTTTATTCACCCGGCTTGTTTGAATTTCTTCACTTTCATGTCTACAATATTGGTAAACAAATAATTTACAAATTGGCTTTATTTTCAACTATAATAATCTTAATTCGAAAATTGTTTGCCGAGTTTCATAGGACAAACTCAATACCGGTCCATAAATAGTTTTGATCACCAAGCATTTTGAAATCAGAATTTTTTCTCTTACAAAAAATATAAATCTTGATATTAAATTCTTAGTAGTTTGAAGATTTTTACTTTATTTCTTTATATTGTCATGAATTAATGCAATGATTTTGTATTTTGCTACCAGTGAATTTTTCGAAATATAATTTTATAACATAAAAATTAGACTATTTTGATAACTTACTTTCCTATCTGAAAAGTGTGTGTAAGGCGACGCTTATAATTCATAGAAAATACCCAACCAAAAATTTTGAAAAAAAGTCATTCTACAATTTACAATAAACATGATGGCGTTGTTGGCTTGGTATCTGTAAATTTAAACGATAAACTTTAATTCAATCCGTTGAATTAAATGCAAGACAATATCACAATCACGCCTATATGAAGACACGACAAAAGGCAATAGTAAATGAATTTAATAATTCCTTTATTGAACTCTTGGTTTATCCTAAAACCTCAACTTGAGTTACTTTTCAACTCAAGGAAAAATACAAGAT